CGGGGCTTGGCCGCCGCTTCCCTCGCACGGAGTTTGCTCGCGGTCGTGGTAGCCAGGATGCAGGCGGTGTCCCTCCGCGGCCCCCAGCGCGCCCGCACCCCCTCTGCAATGTGCACTGGAGTCTGTCCCGGGACCCTTCCTCCCGGGGCTCCGGGTCCTCGCCTGCCCAGTCTCCAGGACACTTGTCTTTTGGATCTTTGCCCCTGATGCCCGCGTTTGCCCGCGCACAACCATAGTCGTCGGTGAAAAGGTCCATTCTTAACAACCTTGGCCTAAATGCCTCAGGGCCTTTTCTAAGGAAATTTATGTCCTTGCACACAGGACCGTGTCTGAGAGTGGACGAGTGCCGCTGTCCTTCCTGCCGCACCTCTGTCCTGTCCACCACCACTCAGTGTGTGGTCCACCCCGGGCTCAGGAGGATACTTGAAGTCCATGGTCATGTGGCCTCATGATGTCAGTGCTTCCTTTGAATTGCAAGGGAAGAAGCCACCAGAATGTCTCTTGCCATTTCTTGTAGCCTGGAGCTTAAGGTTTCAGAAGTAATACCTGAATTTCATTTTGAAGGAAGGCATTTCGAGAGCTTTGTCTTGCAAGCCAGACAGCAGCGTTTTCAGCCACCTCATAACACCTGCACACATCTGCACATCCAACGCCAAGAAACATTCTTAATCGCCTCCTCCAGAAATTTGTTGGCCCCTCACAGGTTCCTGTGTGATCCCACAGATCCCCCAGTTTTGTTTTAGAAATCCTCCTGAGGCTGGCCTACGGCCTGATTGCCGTCTCTTCCCACAGTGTGATGCACCTCCTGGGCTGTGTGTGCTGTGCTAGGCAGGGTGCTTGCTCACACTCAGTACTGTGGTGCAAAGCACCAGCAGGACGTTTGGCAGACCAGGAGGCCAACTGATGGAGAAAGGAGTTCCCAGAGGTGACTGGTGACAAGCTTGCCCTGTGTCTACGAAGCGCTGACTACATTTGAATACACATCTCATTTCTCTCGAGTTGTGGTCTTAGGGGGTGTGGGTTTTACATGCTGCACCTGTAAGTAGCCTTCTGGCTTCTTGCACTGCAGGAAGTTGGATGAAGCAATCCACATAAAGGTTTAGAAGGGAGGTGGGAGGAGTGGACCCCTCAGGAGTTCTTTTGGGGGTCCTATGTGCCTTTTCATCAAAGAACGGGGTGGTGGTGCTGCAGCCTCTGTGATCTGTACGCTCTCCCTGTGCCAGGAAGGGCTGGAGTTGAGAGGGTGGCAAGACTGTCATAGCACTTGTTTCAGGTAAAGCTTCCTGTTGGGTCTGAGTAGTGAGGACGAGCGCAGGTATGTCCTGGTGCTTGACGTGATGTTTTCTCCTCTGCTTTTTAGTTCCTGAAGCACTGTGGGTGAGACACCATTGTGGACCCTGGAAAGAAGCACCTCGCTTGTGCCACAATACCTTCATTAATCGGAAACTGGGCATTGTTTGAGGAAGACCTGCTACTGTCCCTGAGAAGAAGGCTGAGGATCCAGCCACACCAAGCAGTCTAGGGCAGATTGATGCTGGAAATTTCCCCTGCGGAGAGGATTAGCAGCTGACCACTTTGCCAGAAGCTGAGGCCTGAGCTTCCAGAGCCTGGATGCCCAGAGGAAGCTGAGGAAGAGGTTACTGCAGGTAGAGGGTAGAGCCAAGGAGGACTGGGCTTGAGCCCAGGAGCAGCAGAGACAAGAAGGGAGAACCTGAGGTACGGAGGGGAAGCTCACAGCGGGAACGAGAGGCAGCAGGCCGGCCGCCCTTCCCATGGCCTCTAAGCAGGCTGCCGTGAAGGGCAGGGTGGGGAAGCGGAAGCGGGTGGTGCTGACGCTGAAGGAGAAGATTGACATCTGCACACGCCTGGAGCGGGGCGAGAGCAGAAAGGCACTGATGCAGGAGTACAACGTGGGCATGTCCACCCTGTACGACATCAAGGCCCACAAGGCCCAGCTGCTCCGGTTCTTCGCCAATTCTGACTCCAACCAGGCACTGGAGCAGCGGCGCACGTTGCACACACCCAAGCTGGAGCACCTGGACCGGGTGTTGTATGAGTGGTTCCTGGTGAAGCGTGCTGAAGGTGTCCCTGTGTCAGGCCCCATGCTCATCGAGAAGGCCAAGGACTTCTACGAGCAGATGCGGCTGACCGAGCCCTGTGTGTTCTCTGGAGGGTGGCTTTGGCGTTTTAAGGCCAGGCATGGCATTAAAAAGCTAGATGCATCCAGTGAGAAGCAGGTAGCTGACCACCAGGCAGCGGAGCAGTTCTGTGGCTTCTTTAGGAGCTTGACCACTGAGCACGGGCTATCTCCTGAGCAGGTGTACAGTGCCGATGAGACCGGTCTTTTCTGGAGGTGCTTGCCAAGTCCCAACCCAGATGGTGGGACTATGCCCAGCCTCAAGCAGGGCAAGGACAGACTGACTGTCCTGATGTGTGCCAATGCCACAGGTTCCCATAGAATCAAGCCCTTGGCCATCGGGAAATGCCGTGGCCCCAGGGCTTTCACAGGCATCCAGCACCTGCCCGTCGCCTACAAGGCCCAGGGTAACGCCTGGGTGGACAAGGAGATCTTCTCAGATTGGTTCCACCGCATCTTTGTCCCCTCGGTCAGAGAACACTTTAGAACCATAGGTCTGCCGGCAGACAGCAAGGCCATCCTGTTGCTGGACGACTCCAGGGCTCACCCACAGGAGGCTGCGTTGGCATCTGATAACATCTTCACCATCTTCTTGCCTGCCAGTGTGACGTCGTTGATCCAGCCCATGGAGCAGGGCATCCGAAGAGACTTCATGAGGCACTTCATCAACCCCCCTGGGAGCCTGCAGGGCTTCCACCCGCGGTACAGCATGAACGATGCCATACTCAGCGTGGCCTGTGCCTGGAACGCTGTGCCCAGCCATGTCTTCAGGAGGGCCTGGAGGAAGCTGTGGCCTGCTGTCATGTTTGCAGAAGGCTCTTCCGAGGGCGAGGAGGACGAAGAGGCGGAGCCTTGCAGTACCAAGCCTCATAACAAGACTTTGGCCCACATCCTGGAGCTCGTGAGGGAGGGCCCCTTCTGCTCAGGCCACAGGCCTCTGCCCAGTGCAGGGAGGGAGGTGGAGGAGGCACCCGCTGCTATGCTGCCGGCTGAGGCTGACGGGAATGCAGACCAGGTGGAGAGAGACGCTGGGGAGGACTCTGCGGCCGAGGTGGCCTGGGAGCAGGCGGCCGCAGCCTTTGAGGCACTTGTGCACTTCGCGGAGCAGCAGCCCTGCTTCAGCACGCAGGAGGTGGGGCAGCTGCACGCGCTGCACTCTGCCTTCAGGAGGCGGCTGCAGCTGAGGCAGCAGCCCGTCGCCCTGAGGGCCATGGTGAAGCTTGAGGCCCTCCAGGATCACCCGGGCAGGTGCAGGGCCACAGCCCACTCCCCCCTGCCCTGCTCATCCACAGCCAGTGATAACTGATGGCTGTCATCACACTCATTTGACCCCTAGGACATGGGGTCAGTCCTGGGACACAGACTGCCCGCTGGGCGGGAGAGCATGCTCAGAGAGAGCTTAAGCGCTCCCCCCGGGGGGGGGGGGGGTGCCCCCAGCACATTGTCTCCAGTACTCAGAAGGACCCAGGCCTGTGTGTTTTGGCTGATTGAAGTTTACCTGTGTTGTTTGCTGCGTCCTGTGAATGGGAGGAGACCCTCTGGAAGAGTCCATGCTACCTTAAGCACACCCAAGCCTCCTCTGTTGAAACTGGGGCCAGGCTGGGTGAATTCCGAATCTTCTGTTGCCTGGCAAACCTTGCTGTGTTGGACAGAGGTGTGTCTGTCTGGCAGAGAAGAGCACTGTGCTAGCCCACAGGGGCAGCGCCTCCTGCCCCAGGGAGGCTGGGTAGGCTGGGCTGGCAGTAGTTCACGTGCTGGGTGGACCCCAAGTCGAGTGTGAGGGCAGGGGCTCAGTTCCTGACCTCAAGTGCCCTCGGGCCACACGTCTCCCCATTGGCACATGCCTGCTTCAGCCACTGTCATGCTCAGCAGAAGAGCCTGCCCTTCAGGCCCAGGCAGGCCCTCTTGTCACCCCAGGGACCCTGGACTGTTGTTTTTAGCATTTGGCTCAGAGACCACTACAAAGTCGGTATTCCATGCTCCCAGACTTTCAGTTAGAGCCCTAACTGGACAAGCCGCCATCAGGAGTTCAGAGACTAGTCTCAGGTTTGCACACGGCCACTGAGGACAGTGACACAGGCCCCAGCAGCGTGGAAGCTTTTGTCCTTACTGTTTCCAGGGCAGCATTGCTCGTGGGGAAGGCCTGTCTGTACCAGTGGGTGTGGGGAGGCCAACCCTAGGACGCGGTCATTTCCTCGGCCTTAGTAGCCCTCTGTGGCTTTACCTCTAGCAGCACCATGCTTCCTGGCTGTGACTCCAGAGGCCCTGTCCACCGCGTTAGCTGCGTTGTGGCCGTGAAATGGGTGTTTTTCCCCACTCCTTTGCCCTTGAGCTCCATTCCTTCTTGGATTCGCATCCTGGCAGCTGAATTGGCACGTGGTTTCATTCCCACGCTCATCAGGTACTCTTACTCCATCAAGAGACGCTGCTGGGATCCTGAGAGCCAAGGGGCTTACAGGGAGGTTTGTGGTTCTAGTCTGTCCAGACGCTGAGGCCGTAGTGATGTTGATATAGCGCTGTGTTGTAGAATGTGTGTTTCTTTGAAGCATGTGGGAAGATCATAAAAACCAGGTAGTTTTTGAAGTTTCGTTGCGGATTCTTGGGGCTCTGTGGCCTTGTGTTGTGTTGCCTTCGTGCCTGTGGAGGGCGCCTGTGTGTCTGCGTCATGCCGTTGCTGGCTCACAGCAGAGGCCTGCGTTGCAGCTGCCTGGGGTTCTGCAGGGTGGAGGGCGGGCGTCACACCTGTTGCTGGCAGAGCCAAATCTTGGACCTACCAAGGGGATGTGCACCCTGCTGGCAGCCCTCCCCACCCTACAGATGATCTGTGCCCATCAGACTCTATGATCCAGAACCATCTCACCCTCACAACTGCTCCTGTCCTGTCTGGGTGTTGTGTGGCCACAGGGCACCCCTCCTTCCAGAACAGCTCCAGGACAAGCCCCCTTCGGGCTGACCCTGTGCTCTCTCTTCCTGTCCTCTGCTCTCCCTTCCTGTCCTCTGCTCTCCCTTCCTGTCCTCTGCAGGCTTTTGGCAGCTTCCTTGTGGGCTTGTCACTAGAGAGTTGCAGGCTCCACAAGAGAAGGCCTGAGGCGAGTGCTGTGCAGAGGCACGGTCCACTGCCTGCCTGTGAGTGCCAGGTCCAGGTTCCTGGCACAGGCTCCTGCCTCGGTACTTCCATGCTCCCTGAAGAGCCCTGTGCTCTCTGGACAGCTGCAACCAGCCTCTCCAGAGGCCCAGCAGCTTAGCCTCAGCACCTTTCCCAAACAGTTCTGGGTGGACCCACCATGCCCAACTTTACACCTGAGCTGGTGGGAACACGTCTTCCCCTTCCCTTTCCCCAGTGGTCTGCAGAGCAGTGTGATCTCTGTCCCATTTAAGTGCCTTCCCCTTCTGACCTGGGAACCTTGGCCAAGTCCACCCCTTCAGGTCGAGAGGGCTGGTGGGCACTGCAGTCCAGTCAGGACCCCGGCTGCCCCAGTGCCCTGGCCACGGGTTTTCTCCCCTTGCTGACCTTTGGCTCCCCTGAGTGCAGGACCTGGTGTGCTTGCACTCCTCTGTCCTGCCCCAGTGAGAGGGCTCTAGGGGCAGCTTCCCACCCTGGGGGACATGCCCACCCTGTCACCTTTCAGACCCTGCAGGCCACTTCCTGGGAGGTCCGTTTGCCAAACCTGAGCCCCCACTTCCTGACAGTCTGGATGGGGGCAGACCTGCAGTGCCCTCAGCAGTGCCAGGGCAGGACCAGCCTCTCCACGCCCTCCTGAGAGGTTTCAGGAGTCAGTGCCTCTGTCGTGGCTGTCCAGTGAGTCAGGCCTGGTTCTGGGCCAGTGCCCTCAGCACTGACCTCTCACTGGGAGGAGACCCCAATGTCGGGTGGGGCAGTCGTGACTTCCCTGTGAAGCTGCCCTGACTCCGTTCAGGCGGCCTCTGCGAGGGATGTCCACAGCCCTGGGGCATGTGATGTGATGCTGGAGAACTTGCACCAGTGGCAGCAGTAGGTAGGGCTCTGTCCTCAGCCCTCCGATGGGGTGTTGGGTCTGTGGCCTGTATCCCTGCGACAGCAGTGTTGTGGACTGCATGTCTTGTGTGGGCTCTCTTGTCCAGTGAGGAGGTCCACGGAACAGGGTAGGAGAGTGTGGCTGTGGAGTCGCTGATCCAGACCTCCAGGGACCAGGCAGGAAGCAGGTCTGACCTTACTGCGCAGTCACCATGTTTGCACAGTCAGGCAGCAGCTAAGCAGTCAGGCAGCCACCAGTGCAGTGTCTGCTAACTGTCCTCCAGCGACCAGGCAAGGAGTAGGCCACGCAGCAAGCGCAGGGACTGCAGCACACGGCCTCACACCAGGGCTGTGCCTACGGGGCAAGCCGTGTGCTGCTCACACACTCGCACAGGGGAGTGGTTTGCCACTCAGATGCCCTTAACTATGCCATGTGTGCAGAACTCCATGCACGTGTCCCCACAATGTCTGTCCTTCCCAAGTTCATGTTGAGATGCTAACTGCCAGTGGGATGGCATGGGGCGGTGGGGCTTTGGGAAGGTGGTTAGGTTAGGTGAAGTTGCAGAGTGGGGCACCATGAGGTTGGGTCCTTGCATGAGTAGAAGACTGGGCCTCCTTACATCATTTCAGCTGCTGCAGCTCCACCACCATCTACTTCCAGCCTGAAGGAAACAGTCCGTCACTTCTGTGAGCACCCTTCAGCTGCCACCTCACTTCCTCTCCTGCCCCCCAGGCCACGTCCCTCACTTGAGCTCAGCTAGCTTCCAGGGGTCCTGGCAGCATGCTTGTAGAGGACCGGAAAGCACCTGGACACAGGAGGGAAGGCCAGTGCAGGTCTCCTGCCTCAGGCCCTCCACAGCCACGTCGGATTTCAGGTGAGCCCAGGTGCGGGACTCAGTGGGCCTCAGCTCAGGAGACCGGTGTTCAACTCTGAAGTAGGGGAAGAAGGGCGTCATGCAGAGATGTGACAGCGTCCGCCCCAGCCCAGAGCTGGCCAAGGAAAGCGGCCATGAAGCAGCTGCAGACCCCTCTCTAGGAGCTGACTTCATTTGCTGGGGTGTGAAGTTCAAGTGGAAGGGTGCTCTCAAAACTGAGTGGGGCTGGGGGGCTGGGGCGCTCAGTGGCAGAGCAGGTGCCTAGAGTGTGTACCAGGCCTTGGATTCAATCCCAGCACCACATGAACAAAAGAACCAGCTGATGGGGTGGCGAAGGGCATGGGGAGTCATTCACAGCTCTCCTGGAGAGACAGCAGACAGCTGTCTAGGAGTCAATTACAAACACTGGCCTCGGGAACTGTCCCACTGTAGGAGCCCACGTTTGGTTGGGCTCAGCTCTAAAGTGGTTTATCACAGGGCACTGCTGAAAAAGTTGCACAGTTGGCCACAAGTAGAGGGCCCAGCAGCTGGTGTGGCCAGGAACCTGCAGTCGGGGAGCACAGCACACTCAAACCACCGTCACTGGGCGACCAGTACCCAGGCTGCGCCGGGAGCAGTCGAGGCTCCTGCAGAGGCTGTGGGAGAGGGTGACTGGTGACCACTGAAGCGATCCTGCCAGCCGCTCGGCACAGGATTGCCACAGGACGCTGGAGTGGACTTTGTGGTCCACTCAAGGGGACTGCAAGGTGCCTTTTCCAACAACAAATTATGAAACGTGTTAAGAAACAAGCACAGGGCTGGGGATGTGGCTCAGGAGTAGCACACTCGCCTGGCCTGCACGGGGCGCTGGGTTCACTCCTCAACACCACCTAAAAATAAAAATAAGGATATATCCACCTAAAGACGAAAAAAATTTAAAAAAATAAAAAACATTTAAAAAAAAACAGAAACCAAGCAGAGCCGGTTGACTGGGGAAAAGCCCATGGTGGAAACTGCCTGCCAGAGCAAGATGCTCCCTCCACAGAAAGAGAATTCTTCTATGAGGTTTCTGAATACTGTCAAAAAACCAAAAGGGCACCATGATCAAGACATAGGTGAGAGAGGGAAGGGAAGGACTGAGAGTGCATTGCATAAGATAGAGTTTATCAGTAAATCCTCTAAGAGCCAAATGGACACTCTGGAGTTGGAAAGGACAGGTACTGAAATTAAAAATTCAGCAGGCACCCAAAGGTAGATCTGTCCTGAGCAAGAAAGTAGCAGTGAACTTGAAGGTGATGGGTAGGAATTACGTAGTTGGAAAAGCAGAGAGAAGGGAGAAGATCAGCAGTGTCAGGGGAATGTGGGCACCAGTGTGCACACACACAGCGGAGTCCCCCGTAGGAAACGTTTCAAACAGACAAAATCACAGAGGAGAAGAGTGGAGGCGGCCAGGCCTGGGGCAGGGTGTCCCTGTTTAACCTGGTAAGTTCCATTGTGCCTGAGGGGGATGCCCAGAAAAACTTAAATTGAGCAACAAATAAATCACTAATGGGAACTGGTTTTTAATTTGTTTGATTAGTTACACATGATAGCAGAAGCATTAATACGCACACGTAGGTAGGATATATTTTCTCCTTTTTCTGAGTGTACATGTTGCAGAATCACATTGGTCATGCAGTCACATATACACACACAGTAATAATGTCTGTTTCATTCATTTTCTCCAGTGAATGTTTTTGCACCCTTGTCTAGCGTAAGATAACCATATTTATGTGGGTTTGTCTCTGTGTCCTTTATTTGGTCTACAAGTCTATTTTGGTGCCAATATCATGCTGTTTTTGTTACTATAGCTCTGTCATATAGTTTTAAAACTTCTAGAATGAATAAATGAATTCAGAAAAGTGGCAGGATATAAAATCAACACCCGTAAGCCAGACTCATTCCTATACATCAGTTAAGAATCCACTGAAAGAGAAACAGGAAAACTACTCTATTCACAAAAGCCTCAAAAAAGATAAAATACCTGGGAATCAATCTAACAAGAGTTAAAGACCTCTGCAAAGAAGACTACAGAACACTAAAGAATGAAATTGAAAGAAACCTTAGAAGATGGAGAGATCTCCCAGCTCTTAAATAGGCAGAATTCATATTGTCAAGTGGCTGTACCAACAGAAGCGTTAAACAGATTTAATGCAATTCCTATTAAAATCCCAATGACATTCTTCCTAGAAATAGAAAAAGCAAACGTGAAATTATTTGGAAAAGTAAGAGACCCAGAATAGCTAAAGCAATCCTTAGCAAGAAAAGTGAAGTAGGAGGCATCACAATACCAGACCTTAAACTATACTACAGGGAACTTTTGAATAAATATTATTTTAGAGTTTCATGCTTTTGCAAAAGTAGTAGGTGAATGACTGGAGCATTGGGAATACACGTTTCCATTCCTATGTCAATGAATGCAAAGGACACCCGGCTCCGGGCTGTGATTTCCAGCCTCTTAAGGCACCTGAGAATGCTGTGGTGATATTTTCAGGCTGGGAAACTTGAGACTCCCTGGCAGTGGTCACCCAGCCCGGTGCTCAAGGACAAGGGCTTAAGCAGTGCTTTTCACACCACGTGTGGTCTAGATGGCCAACCCGGCACAGTCAATGGCCTGGTGCTCTGGGATGAGGACCAGGGAGCCCTCAGAGAAGAGGCCAGGGCCACCAGGAGCCCAGCAACAGCAGGAGCTCTGC